TCCGTGCGGCCGGCCTGGCGTAGTTTGATTATGTTTTAGTGGGGGTTTTTGTATGGGTGTGTTTTTAGAACAGGCCCGTTATTTAATTTGATTTTAGAACTGCCTATATTTATCATGGTTTTTATTATCGCCTGTTCACCGCCCTGAGTCCCGTAAGGGAGATAGGGCGGTATATAAATTCAATAAATAAATAAATAAAATAAAATAAATCCCTCTCCAAACAGAAAAAAAAATGCTCCAAATATGCATTTTTGGTCTTACATTTAGATATATAAATGTAATAAACTTTTTAGATGCACATATGCACTATTACTATTTTGATTTACCCCCTATTGTTCACAAGGTAAACAATAGAATTAAAAGCTGGATAAAAGCAGTTAAAATTTTTAGTTATGCCTTTTAAAAGGACTGGCTGAAGAGGATGGAATATCAGTCATACTTGCTTAAGCCCTTGTGAAATACAGGTAGTCCTCAACTTAAAACCATTCATTTAGCAACTGTTCAAAATTACAAAGGCGCTTATGATCGTTTTTCACACTGTTGCAGCATGGTCACGTGATTAAAATTTGGACAACTTGGTAATTGGCTCATATTTATGACAGTCGCAGTGTCCCTGGGTCATGTAGTCACATTTTGCGACCTTCTGACAAGCGAAGTCAATGGGGAAACCATATTCACTTAACAACCGTGTGATTAACTTCATAACTGCAGTGATTCACTTAACAACCGTGGCAAGAAAGGTCGTAAAATGGGGCAAAACTCACTTCACAACTGTCTCACTTAGCAGCAGAAATTTTGGACTCAATTGCAGTTGTATGTCGAAGACTACCTGCATTTCTGAAGGATCAAAATATTTGCATGTTTGTTCAGGCATGTTTGTTTCTATACCAAAGGGCACATGCACAGATTTTTTTTTTCTTAACGTCTTTCTCTGGTCATTGAATCCCTACATTTCAAATGGTTGTGTTTGTGTAATCAATATACCTGACAATATTCCTGAGATTGCCTGTGGAACTCAGGTGAGTCGTGCTGGGCTACTGCAATGAGCACCCGGCAAGCTTTCTTGTCATTCACCTTTGGCACACACCACAAAGGACTATTCTCTTGGGCCACCGCACTGAAGAAAGAAAGAAAACACACTATTGAAGTGAGTGATGAGGAAAAGGAGGCAGACTTTGACCGATGGGCAGGCCTGTGAAGGAGGGGAAAAAAGGCCCTTTCTATGTATAACTCTATTCTGAATGCATTTATCCCACTAGATGCAAATGAGAGAATGAAGTCCGTGGGTCAAAAACAAAAATCTTGCTTCTTTGGGAATATGTATAGTGTGTTTGGGATATAGTATTTCTGCACATTGGCTGAAAAGGGAATGTGATATGCAAATGGAGGAGACAAGAAGCTAAGATTAAGATATATGCACACAAACCTAGAGGGCACAGAAGCAATAAAGAGAAAAGTTCTAAATCAAAGATACTAATCAGAGATTTAAATTACTTGGTCATATACTTGTTTCTCCCTGTACAAATCACTCAGGAAATTAAAGGGCTGTTGTACTGGATTATATAAATACTGCAGCTTTAGCTGTTCATGTGTATATAATTAGAAGTACTTCCTGAAGTCAGCCTGAAGAATTGGCAATTACAAGAGATTCATTGTAATGTTTCTACTCTGCCTAAATTAAACAGTTCTAGGAATGTTCCTTACCGGCTCATGTGCAACAGATCATTAACATAGGTGTGCATGATGGGCTCCAAGTCATAAATGCCACTCACCAAAAAGGCACCTGGGGTGAAAAATAAAAATCCACATTGTTTTAAATGGATTCCAGCTTGGTCTAATATTCCATTATGCGTGATGTTCAAGCAAGAGAAACTGAGGAAACAATGAGACAAAAAAAGTGAGAAAAAACAGGATGAATTTCTCCCAGCCAATACCTTTAATGTTTGGCTCAACACCAAATTTTGCCCAATCTGTGGAAAGTATCATGGCTGCCAGGTGGGCTCCTGCCGAATGCCCAAGCAGATAGACACCACTGCAAGAAAAGGAGACATAGTTACAATGAGCAAAGGAGAGGTGCTGACTGGGACAGAGAGGGGAAAATTGGCTGAGGAGTCAATCACTCAACATCTACTAAGCTGAGTTCTAAACCTGGGCAGGTATCAGTGGAATCCAAGCTTCTCTTTCTCAAGGTTGCATGTTTATTACCCATGCAACTTTTTCAGCCATTCTTACCTGATCCCTGTATATTGCTGAACTGCAAAAGCCACACTATGCCGCACCTGTTCAATCATCACCTCCAGTTGGCCTGGGTAGAGAACACAATATCCTGGTTAGTCAAAGGAGAGCAGGGTGAGCAATACATCTGAGCCACCATAACATACCTTTTGGAGCCACATCATAGCCAACTGCAGCAAAGGCAATGCCTTGGTTCACTAGGGGACATGCAGCAAAACCAGAAACTTCTTTGCTAGAAAGAAAGAAAGAATGACCGTTGTTTATACCAGTAGATATTCTCCATCAAAAAGTGTTTCTTCTAGCCAGGATGCCACCCACTGAAGTCCAGAAATTGGAGGAAGTGGATCACCTCAGCCTCCAAGACAACTCACCTCAAGCTTTGCCAGTAGCCACCATGAATATAGAGGACCAGAGGAAAGGCTGAAATGGGATAACAAGTCACCAAAAGCAACTTCTGCTGTAACTTTCCTCAAATCCCTCTCTGTCTTTGTTCATCTTATCTAAGAGCTGTGGTGGTTAGAATGCAGTATTGCAGGCAAACTTTGCCGACTGCCAGCAGTTCGATCCTGACCGGCTCAAGGTTTACTCAGACTTCCACCCTCCCGAGATTGGTAAAATGAGGAGCCAGATTGTTGGGGACAATATGCTGATTCTTAGAGGGAACTGTAAAGCACTATGAAGTGGTATACAGTATAAGCCTAAGTGCTATTGCTATTACTATCTCTCAAACATAGCATCAGCCCTTGCAGGTAGACCAGGTCAAGAAATCATCACCACAACGACTTGTGTTGACGAGTATATAATAATAGGAGAAAGCATGACAGAGACTTTCTCTCCCACCCATCAAAATAATTAAGATGGGGCAATCTTAAGTTTCTTCCTCACTCCCTCCTCCCTTTCAGGGCTGAGGTTTACCTAACAGCTACATTCTTCAAGGCCATTTCCATATTTATCTACCCATGGCCAGTCTTCTAAGCTCTCTGTTTTCCTATTTCCCTACCCTATCCCTTTCAGAGCCCCCCATCCACTCTTTGTGCTCTTACTTTCAACATGTTTTTTAGGAAGATACACATCCAGTTTCTCTCCCTCGCTGGAGCCATAGGGGACATTCAGCAGAGTTTGGGTGAATGCCTGGGCGTTTACAGTACCTGCAGAGTATTGAAAGAAAATACCAACAAATGTAGCAATCATCCTTCCTAAATATTATTTGGGCTGTCCTCCTAGATGTTCCAGATGTCACTGAATCTCCATGCAGGCAGTCCACAACTTACAACTATTGGCTAAGTGACTGTTTGAGGTTACCAAGGCATTGAAAAAAGTCACTTATGATAGTTTGCAGCATCCCCATGGTCATGTGATCAACATCCGGTCACTTGAGAACTGGCATGTGCAGTGTCCTGGGGTCATGTGTCATCTTCTGACAAGCAAAATCAATAGGGGAAGCCATATTCACTTAGTAACCATATTACTAACTTAACAACTGCAGTGACTTAATTGTGGCAAGAAAGATCATAAAATGAGGACCCAGATTGTTGGCGGCAATATGCTGACTCTGAAACCATTTAGAGAGGGTTGTGAAGTGGTATATAAGTCTAAGTGCTAGTGTCAACGCTGCTAACATCGGATGTTCTTGCTTTGACAACAAATGGAAATGCAGCTATTTTTCTCTATTGCTTCTAGAGCTAGTTGATGCTGGGAGGGGGAATGTGGATGAGAGTCCAGCTAGTCATAACAATAATAACGTCATTGGGCCCAGAGTTCATTGGGCCCAGAGTTCATAGAGTTTTGGTGGGCTGGAGGGCTGGGGAGAAAGCCTGTGCTTCAAGCTAATTGGGGAATGTGATTTATGACAGTTTACTGGAGGAGGGAATTGTGCTTTGATACTTTGTATCCAGGGGAGGGGAATTTAGTTTTTGATTTCAACTTTGTAGTGCCGATACTTTGTTTCTTGAATAAAATATTCTTTAAGGTAAACAATGCCTCGAAGTTCTTTTTGAAGAGTTTCATCTGTCGAAACCGTGACATTTAGTGCAAAGTGCTAAAATGGGTAAATCTCACTTAACAACTCTCTTGCTTAACAAGATAAATTTGGGCTCAATTGAGGTCATAAGTCGAGGACAACCTATCATCACAGCTGCTTCCTGGAAAATCAGTGGCTTTTCACCTTGACATAGCTTCAAAGGAAGGAGGTCTCTTCATTTTTTTTTTTCAGTATTGCCCAGCTCTTCCCTGGTATATTTTTATTTTCACAGCAGAGTTCATAAATTTGTATGGCCGATTCATTAGAAATGCCATACCCACCAATTTATTTCAATATTTTCCAGCTTCTGGGAAAAGCTGACGGCTGAGCTTTTCAGGAGGGCTTTGGGGAGCTTGTTGCCATCTGTTGTGTTTTCAGCTTTCTTTGCCTTATTTATTGTATTTCTTTGTCTTGTGAACAAGCAAGATTCCTATGTTTGCAGCTTCATGCAAATTTGATGAGAATTAATTTACAAACAAGAGTACACCTGCTACGATATAACCAATCATGGCAATGTAATCCTGTGTTCATAAAAGCATGCATGTTGCCTGTTTTGCTGAAGCAGACTCATAGGACATAGTATATTTTGGCAATCCACAGGAACTGGGAGGTCTATAGGAAGGCAGTCTATCTGCTCACCCCATTATTTTGGCTCTTGGATAGCCCATACCTTCAGTCACTGCTTTCATGTGTGCCTCAATCACAGCATCCTTATCCAGCCTTGGAGACCATCTACTAGGGGAGTACTCAGTCTCCAACTCCTGTGTAGAAAAAAAAACCAGGATAACTTGTACACATGCAATAGCATCAGTACACAATCTGGACAGTTTCAGAAATACTTGTAGTTTGAAATGATGCTAACCTCAAATGATGCTACCTGGGAGAGAGAGGCGAGTGGCTGCCTATATGAATTGCTGCACCTGTAGTCCCATCTGGGTGCACAAAATGCCTTTTTTGATTTATTTTCTAGGATTAATTTAGTTAACCTTAGATTTAACAATCTGTGACTGCTTCTGTACATCAGAGAAACACGCACCCTTCTAGTCACGTAGAATTTATTCCCCAGAATTCTCTTAGTCTTAAGACCAATAACATTGATCTAAATCAGGGGTAGTCAACCTTGGCTCTTTTATGACTCGTGGACTTCAATTCCCAGAATTCCTGAGCCAGGAATTCTGGGAGTTGAAGTCCACGAGTCATAAAAGAGCCAAGGTTGACTACCCCTGATCTAAATACTTGGCTGAATAAATCTCCTTTCTATCATCCTGGCCTCTTCTCTGAACCTGAGTATGAAAATGGCAGTATGTTGCAGGAAAGCTCGGAGGAGGAGGAGGAGGAGGAGGAGGAGGAGGAGGAGGCATGGACCTGAGAAGCTCTGAAAAGCAACCATAGGAGCTCTTTACGCTGCAAAGGCAGTTGCATTGCAGACTGTGATATTCTTGACACAAAGGTTGCTGGTTAAACCTTTTGGGCTTCAATTTTGTGCTGGGAGTTCCTCAGGGAGTGAGGGAACTAAACTTTCAAGCGCATAAATAAATCTCAGATTAAGTCATTTCTTATCCCTTGTTCTAGAGCAGTGGTTCTCAACCTTTTTAATGCTGCGACCCCAACCGGTCGTAAGTTGAGGACTAAACCGGTCGTAAGTCGAGGACTACCCAACTGGTCGTAAGTCGAGGACTTTCCCTGCCCGGGAGCGCCGCACATGCGTGGTTCCGCCCCCTGCGCCGGCCGAGGCGTAGCTGGCAAGCTGCAGAGACGGAGCAGGCCGACCACCAGCTGGCCCAGCCCAAGGGAGGTAAGGCACCCGCTGGAAAAGGGGGGGGGGGAAATGGCGGACAAAAAAAATTGCAGACAAAAAAAATGGTGGACAGCCTTGCTTGGCGACCCCCGTGAAATGGTCGATCGACCCCAAATGCGGTCCCGACCCATAGGTTGAGAACCACTGTTCTAGAGCAAAACACATTGTACCTCTCCTCTTTCCATTCTGGAAACTCCCAAATCTTTTTTTTTTTTAATGACTCTAAAGTACATCCACACTAAACAAACACTGAAAATCTCTCTTCCCTCCCTTTCCACAATCACATACACATACAAACTACAGCTATACCTCTTTTGTCATTTCCTGCCACTTTCCCATAGTAATGGCTACGTTGTGGCTATATTCCTTCTCCTGATGAACCTGGGCTCAGGGCGAACAAAGTGGTGAGAACATACGATCCAAAATAGCCTCTGACAAACAGTGCAGATCCGATCCCGTGTTCCTCCTTGGCCTGTGCTCTTCCAGCTGCTCTGTGAGACGTCAGCAATTCCTCATCAAGGAGCTATCCTCATTGGTCATACCAGCATTGGGGCTGCAGAGAAAGCAGTTGTCCTGTTTACTGTAGAACAGAGACGCTGAGTAAATTCAGCTCACCGCCTTCCTGCTATTGCAATATCTAAGTGCACAAATTTGGGGGAAGAAATGATAATGTTAGGCCTGGCAATGCTATCCGTACCCCACCTCAATTTTTCTAGTTTGTCTTAACTTACTGATCTCTGTGTCTCATACATAAATTGTTCTACCATGCCTTCATAAGCATGCTGAAAACAAGTCATTGGAGTTAAATTTTAACCTAGATACACCGAGAGAAGGCAGTCAACTTCTAAAAATAAAAGCTGTTTTTATTCAGCATATATCCACTTTAGTTTTGACTGCAGCCACACATTGCTAATATAGACAGAATGTTTTGGTAATGTATCTGTCTTCTGTTTGTTAATCATAAAACTTGCTAATGTAGCAAATTATTTTATTTTTCCTATTAATGTTACAATTCCCTTTAAAAGCTCTAAAACCAGTATCAAATCAAATGCTCTTAACCAAAAATTTCTCTTTTAATCTTTATTCCCACAATTTTCTCATTTTGTCTTATATATTTATTCAATATTTCAAGGACTAAAAATAAAAATAAAAAACAAAAACGAGAGGAGATAATGGACAGACCTCTCTTGTTCCTTTTCATATCCCACAAGATTTGTTAACTCTCCATTAACAATTATTTGTGCTTTCTATGTTGTGTACACCAGTCTTACCCATTTAATAAAGTTCTCTTCAAACTTCCTATCTTCCAAAACATTCCTTTATTTCTCTATTAGGTCTGTCCATTGGGGCTCCCTGGACATGACATAGACTGTCCAAGGGGTCTCACTGGGCTTTCATACAATCCCCTCCTCCTTCTTTTCTTTAACTATAAAATATACTGGCTGGGATCCAACAGGCATATAACTTCTATTGTTAACATATATGTTTAATGCTTGACATAGCCAATCCTCAAAACTTCCATATTTTGGGCAAAATACACTAGTGCCTTTAATAGGATTTCTTGGCCATTCAAAATAACAATATTGAATCATTCTTTCTTTACTCTTAGTCCTGGTTTTACAACATTGTGCCCCGTGGACTATCTGGCAGAATGTTCAGAGGAGATCCCATCTCCCCTCCATGGCACTTCTTACCCACCCATGCTAGGACCGCAATCTCTTCAAAGTTTAACCAAACCACCTGTTCCACCCCCTTCATGGACTTCACACCAACTTGTGCTCCAAGCATGCCACACTACCCATCAACCTGGCCCCAACACACAGAGCTATATATCCCAACCGCCAAGGCAATGCTTAAGTCCAAATTTTCTTACCTTGGTCTGTGCACAAAATTGCTTGGTTGCAGCGCTTCAGTGCCCACTGTATAATTCCCCCAGCACTTTTCCCTTACGATTTCTTTCTCTTAACCTCCGTTCTGGATTCCAGAGGCACACAGGACTCACCAATGATTCACAACATAGGACCATTGAATTCAGTGGGACATGTCTTCTCAGTTGGTGCTTGCTCAGTGACTTCTGCAGCTTTCTGGAGAATCCCGGGAGAGCCCCCAAGTTGTGGGATTCATTGTCTAGCTGAAATAAATAACCACCNGCATTTATCCCACTAGATGCAAATGAGAGAATGAAGTCCGTGGGTCAAAAACAAAAATCTTGCTTCTTTGGGAATATGTATAGTGTGTTTGGGATATAGTATTTCTGCACATTGGCTGAAAAGGGAATGTGATATGCAAATGGAGGAGACAAGAAGCTAAGATTAAGATATATGCACACAAACCTAGAGGGCACAGAAGGCAATAAAGAGAAAAGTTCTAAATCAAAGATACTAATCAGAGATTTAAATTACTTGGTCATATACTTGTTTCTCCCTGTACAAATCACTCAGGAAATTAAAGGGCTGTTGTACTGGATTATATAAATACTGCAGCTTTAGCTGTTCATGTGTATATAATTAGTAGTACTTCCTGAAGTCAGCCTGAAGAATTGGCAATTACAAGAGATTCATTGTAATGTTTCTGCTCTGCCTAAATTAAACAGTTCTAGGAATGTTCCTTACCGGCTCATGTGCAACAGATCATTAACATAGGTGTGCATGATGGGCTCCAAGTCATAAATGCCACTCACCAAAAAGGCACCTGGGGTGAAAAATAAAAATCCACATTGTTTTAAATGGATTCCAGCTTGGTCTAATATTCCATTATGCATGATGTTCAAGCAAGAGAAACTGAGGAAACAATGAGACAAAAAAAGTGAGAAAAACAGGATGAATTTCTCCCAGCCAATACCTTTAATGTTTGGCTCAACACCAAATTTTGCCCAATCTGTGGAAAGTATCATAGCTGCCAGGTGGGCTCCTGCCGAATGCCCAAGCAGATAGACACCGCTGCAAGAAAAGTTACAGTGAGCAAAGGAGAGGTGTTGACTGGGACAAAGAGGGGAAAATTGGCTGAGGAGTCAATCACTCAACGTCTACTAAGCTGAGTTCTAAACCTGGGCAGGTATCAGTGGAATCCAAGCTTCTCTTTCTCAATGTTTATTACCCATGCAACTTTTTCAGCCATTCTTACCTGATCCCTGTATATTGCTGAACTGCAAAAGCCACACTATGCCGCACCTGTTCAACCATCACCTCCAGTTGGCCTGGGTAGAGAACACAATATCCTGGTTAGTCAGAGGAGAGTAGGGTGAGCAATACACCTGAGCCACCATAACATACCTTTTGGAGCCACATCATAGCCAACTGCAGCAAAGGCAATGCCTTGGTTCACTAGGGGACATGCAGCAAAACCAGAAACTTCTTTGCTAGAAAGAAAGAAAGAAAGAATTACCATTGTTTATACCAGTAGATATTCTCCATCAAAAAGTGTTTCTTCTAGCCAGGGTGCCACCCACTGAAGTCCAGAAATTGGAGGAAGTGGATCACCTCAGCCTCCAAGACAACTCACCTCAAGCTTTGCCAGTAGCCACCATGAATATAGAGGACCAGAGGAAAGGCTGAAATGGGATAACAAGTCACCAAAAGCAACTTCTACTGTAACTTTCCTCAAATCCCTCTCTGTCTTTGTTCATCTTATCTAAGAGCTGTGGTGGTTAGAATGCAGTATTGCAGGCAAACTTTGCCGACTGCCAGCAGTTCGATCCTGACCGGCTCAAGGTTTACTCAGACTTCCACCCTCCCGAGATTGGTAAAATGAGGAGCCAGATTGTTGGGGACAATATGCTGATTCTTAGAGGGAACTGTAAAGCACTATGAAGTGGTATACAGTATAAGCCTAAGTGCTATTGCTATTACTATCTCTCAAACATAGCATCAGCCCTTGCAGGTAGACCAGGTCAAGAAATCATCACCACAACGACTTGGGTTGACGAGTATATAATAATAGGAGAAAGCATGACAGAGACTTTCTCTCCCACCCCTTACATCAAAAGAATTAAGATGGGGCAATCTTAAGTTTCTTCCTCACTCCCTCCTCCCTTTCAGGGCTGAGGTTTACCTAACAGCTACATTCTTCAAGGCCATTTCCATATTTATCTACCCATGGCCAGTCTTCTAAGCTCTCTGTTTTCCTATTTCCCTACCCTATCCCTTTCAGAGCCCCCCATCCACTCTTTGTGCTCTTACTTTCAACATGTTTTTTAGGAAGATACACATCCAGTTTCTCTCCCTCACTGGAGCCATAGGGGACATTCAGCAGAGTTTGGGTGAATGCCTGGGCGTTTACAGTACCTGCAGAGTATTGAAAGAAAATACCAACAAATGTAGCAATCATCCTTCCTAAATATTATTTGGGCTGTCCTCCTAGATGTTCCAGATGTCACTGAATCTCCATGCAGGCAGTCCACAACTTACAACTATTGGCTAAGTGACTGTTTGAGGTTACCAAGGCATTGAAAAAAGTCACTTATGATAGTTTGCAGCATCCCCATGGTCATGTGATCAACATCCGGTCACTTGAGAACTGGCATGTGCAGTGTCCTGGGGTCATGTGTCATCTTCTGACAAGCAAAATCAATAGGGGAAGCCATATTCACTTAGTAACCATATTACTAACTTAACATCATCCAGTGCGGCTGGCACTGGATGACCATTTGTCGGCCGTGACCAGGGGGGCGTTTTATCAGGTTCGCCTGATCCACCAGTTGCGGCCTTTTCTGGACCGGGACGCTTTGCGCACAGTCACTCATGCCCTCGTCTCCTCCCGCCTGGACTACTGTAATGCCCTCTACATGGGGCTCCCTTTGAGGAGCACCCGGAGGCTTCAACT